CCGTTGAAATTAGATCGATTAGAAACCCCGAACAGGCCAAAATTTGCAATTGTTTGAAGAAAAACGATTTTCCAGGAATATAAGAAATGGTTAGGAAAATTTTCCTTTTGAATCTGAAGTAAAAGGGTACCAGGAATATGATGCCGTTGAAATTAGATCGATTAGACACCCCGAACAGGCCGAAATTTGCGAATGTTTGAAGAAAATCGCTTTTTCCGGAAAATAGGAAATGATTAGGAACATTTCTATTCCAATTTAGAGCAAGAGGCGATCAGGAATACGATGTCGTTGAAATTAGATCGATTAGAAACCCCGAACAGGCCAAAATTTGCGATTGTTTGAAGAAAAACGATTTTCCCGGAATATAAGAAATGGTTAGGAAAATTTTCTTTTTGAATCTGAAGTAAAAGGGCACCAGGAATACGATACCGTTGAAATTAGATCGATTAGCAACCCCGAACAGGCCAAAATTTGCAATTGTTTGAAGAAAAACGATTTTCCAGGAATATAAGAAATGGTTAGGAAAATTTTCTTTTTGAATCTGAAGTAAAAGGGCACCAAGAATACGATGCCGTTGAAATTAGATCGATTAGACACCCCGAACAGGCCGAAATGTGCGATTGTTTGAAGAAAAAAGATTTTCCCGGAATATAAGAAATTGTTAGGAAAATTTTCTTTTTCATTCTGATGCAAGAAGCGATCAGGAATATAATGCCGTTGAAATTAGATCAATTAGAAACCCCGAACAAGCCAAAATTTGCGAATATTTGAAGAATATCGGTTTTCCCGGAAAATAAGAAATGGTTAGGAAAATTTTCTTTTCGAATCTGAAGCAAGAGGCCACCAGGAATACGATGCCGTTGAAATTAAATCGATTAAGAACCCTGAACGAGCCGAATTTAGCGATTGTTTGAAGAAAATAGATTTTCCCGGAAAATAAGAAATGGTTAGGAAAATTTTCTTTTCGAATCTGAAACAAGAGGCGACCATGAATACGATGCCGTTGAAATTAGATCGGTTGAATACCCCGATCACGCATTTTTTTCAGTTTAAAATCTATGGCCAACTTCTCACGCGTATTACCCCATACTTTTCAAAATAAATAAACTTACTTTTCTAAACCTCCATTTGTCACCTTCTTTGGTGAATCTTGAACAACATCCTCATCATATTGAACAACTTGAACTTCATCATCTGTATTATTAAATAAATCGTCACTATGAGCACTCGCATGATCTTCCTCTTCAACAACCGTTTCATTCCCTCTTCCCTTTTTCATCAAAACATTTTGTAAAATAACAACATTAGAACTTTGTTTTTCCTCGTCAATGCCTTTATTTTCACTCTTCCCTATCTCTTTCTCCAAAGAAACATTGGAACGATTATTTTCTTTTAAATCAAAACACCTTTCCAATTCTTCCACATCAATATTCTCCATCATAGCTTCTGTACAAGGCAAAACATCGTGATCACTTTGCGATTTATTTGTTATAGTTTGTGGTGTTGTAAATGCTTTACTAAATTCTTCAATAATTTCTAAATCAGTTGTCTCAATATTTTCTTTATTACTACTTTTAACGCTAGGTTTACGTTCATTATCGGCTTGTGATTTATTAACGATATTTTTAATCATAGCGTCGCATCTTTCGTATACATTTTGTGATTCAGTTTTTTTCTTAGACGTCGAAGGTTCGTTATTAGCATCATTATTTTCGTATTTTTTCATAACGTTTTGATAATATCGATCGTAATCGACTTTGTTTGAATTTTTTAATGTTAAATTTTCGCTTGATTTCGTACTATCGATATTCTCAGACATTATTTCAACTGATAAATCGTCCATGATGTATTTATTTTTTAGTTTATTACTTTTATTGCTCTTATTATTAGTGGGTTTATTTTGATCGTCAGTGTCGCTATCTGAGTCGACTTGAACAATTCGTTTATAATTCTTTAACATTTCAGCAATACGTTCTTCGCATTCTTCTTTCGAATGAATTTTTGGATTTGTTAATGAAACAATTAAAGCAGAATTTTGAGGGGTTTCGTTATTAATTTTCTGAGATGGTTTTTTTATTATAATTGGTTGAGTTTTAATTTCAAAAATATCATCATCAATATCAGTTTGGGTTTCAATTGTACAGACATTTTTAGTTGTATCAAAAGTAATTGTTTGTATTGATATATTTTTTAATTTATTTTCTTTATTAAAATCGATTGGGTCAGTTTGAGTATCAACATCACGCATTTTTTTCTTAATTTCTGGAATCGATTCGGTTTGAATGGATGTAGAGGTGATGGAGAATAAAGTTTGTGTGCTTTGATCGATTAATACACGCTTATTTAAAGATATTACAGAACTATCACTTAAATCATTTAATTTGCGTTTCTTTCTGTTAATATTGGGGCTTTCAAAACAAATTCGATTTTTATTAATTTTCTCATCCCTAATTACTTGATTAGGTGTAAGCTTTTTATTAATATTTTCTTTATTATCTGAGGGTGATGTTAAAGTAACATTTAATTCCGGTAATTTACCTTTATTTTTATTAGAAATTTTGTTCATTTTTTTCATTCTTTTCCAACCACTTTTACTATTACTTGTTTTATTCACTGGTTTTTGATTCAAATCCATTTCAATACGATCAAGACATTCTTCCTCCAATAATCTTACAACTTCTTCTTTATCTGAATGATTTAATTCTTGATTTGAACGCCTTCTCAATTTCATAACATGACCTTTTGGCTTTATTTCAAATGATTTTGAACGCCCTGTGCATTTTTTTTGAGTTATCTTTTGTGAAACAGACGGTAAACTTAAAAAATCTTCTGAATCTTCATTAATAGCATCTTGAGTTTGTGTTAATAAACGATCAAAATTATTTTTTGTACTTCCTAACCACTTAAAAACGTCTTGTTTAAACTCGCCTTTCCTCGATAAAGACCCATCGACTTTAACTGACTCAAGATTTAGTTTATTATTACCTTTTTTAATATACTTTTTAACTGATTTACTTTTATGATGATTTAACGAAACTGAATTAAGAAGTTTATCAAAAGTAGAAACACTACTCGTTGAGTCAACCACATCTTTTGAATCCTTTAAGAAATTCTTATTAAATATCAATGTAATTTCATCGTAATTTAAATTAAAAACATCACAATTAAAAGTTGTTTTTAATTGAGTGTCTACTTTCCGAAGCCATGCCAATAAATTTTTAATGTAATTGTTAATTGGAACTTGTTTGATTGTAGTTTTACAAATCGGACATTTATTATTGTTGCAAATTGAAACGCATTGTGAACAAAAAGTGTGATTACACGAAGCGCATAAAGGATCTTCAACCAATTCTCCACTAAAAAAAAATAACGTAGGTTATGTACCAATTAATCCCCCTTATTTTATATTGTCTTACCACATAGGACATCGTATCACTTCTTTGAGAGTGTTTATTTCTTGAATAAAGGTACTAAATTGTTTTGCGGTTTTAAAAACAAATAAATTTGACATACTTGTCATTATTATAACCTGTAAAAAAGTTTGAAAATTGCAAAGAAAACGAGATTGTCGCGGTATAAATAAGATTTTTGACAGTTGACATGCAAATATCAGTAGAACCAATGTATAAAATTGAAACTACCTATTAATTGTTACTGAATTATCTTAAATTTAAATTTTATTTTTAATTGAAAAACATTTATGATTTAATACTAAAATATGCCTCATTATGAGAATATTTAATAGATTCAAAATTTAATTAAAAACTCTATAATATAAATTAAGAATTTTATCCATGTTGCAAGTTGGGAATATATTAAAAAATATACTAAAATGATATGCTAGAAAAAACTTCTTTTATTTAAATATATATCGAGACTAGTTTCGAGGTTACACCCTCATCTTCAGTCGAAAAGTCAAAGAAGTGACACAAACATGTATAAATAAGATAATTGAAAGAAAGGTCGTATCTATTATTTATAGAAATATATGATGTACATGATGTATATTTTTCAAAATTTAGAAGCTACTCTGTAGCCTATGTTCTCTTTTTCAGACTTTTTATTGATAAAGCTGCAATTATTGCTGCGCAAACTCCTTGAAGACGTGATATCTTTGAGTTCTAGATCATGAAGTGGACTACTTATTAAGTAGACAATAGTATATTATTCAACAAGCGTATAATGGCGGCTGTTACCCACGAAGAAGAAGTTGCAACACGAGCGAGCGAAGCGAGCGAGTGTTGTAATCTGAGTGGGTAACATCCATTATACGCAAGTTGAATACTATACTTTATCTACAACTATTTAATTTTGAAAAAAAAATCAAAAAAACGAAAAAAAAATAAACTTGATAGACATTTCAGACATAACCTCAATATAAGAAAGCTGTCATTTCTGTTAATATTTTATTTTTTGATTAGTAGGCAGTGTCAGAAGTGTGGAATAATGGCCTCATTATTCAACACTTTGTCTGTCATGGGTAATGAGTGTCATTACCCGTCAAAAATCAATTGTATAACGAATAGATAATTCAATAGTTGTAGATAAAA